CTACTACCTACTACTACGTACGTACGTACGTACGTACCGTAACGTAACCTACCTACTTACTTACGTCTACGTATATTACTCTCTACTAGTACGTTCTTTCTTACTCTCTCTCTCTCTCTCTCTCTCTCTCTCTCTCTCTCTCTCTCTCTCTTTCTCTTTCTGGTTCTTTAATTATAGCAAAGTTAACATTTTTGATCTAGGAAAGGGGTTGGGTCATGGTAGTAGCACCATCATACCTAGTTACCACATTGTGGTTTCCAATCCTGCTGACACAACACCTTCAAAAAGGCTAACTCCCTAATCCATCAGAAAAAATGGGTAGGGGGCTCGTCTTCCCCATTGAATTTCTCGAAAAAAAAAAAAAAGATTTTTGTAGGCTAAACTTTTTTTCAAATTACAAAATTGCTCCATTTATAAGTGGACATTACCAAGAAGGTTGATCAATCCGTCTTTTTTTTATTTTTTCCAAAATTTGTCCCTTAGTTTGAGAACATCCTCAAACCGATTTTTTTTATAGTTTTTTCGTAGTAGTGTACTGCTAAAGCTTAGGGCACTGCCCTACTAAGTAAAATTCTAAAAAAATAAAATAAAATTCAGACCGGGAATTCCATCATAAGATCAAAGGGCAATTTTGAAAAAATAAATAAAAAAGAAAAGCCAGTTAACTGACCTTCTTTGTAATTTCCATCTATAAATGGAACATTTCATATTTTAGAAAGAAAACTAAGGTCCATACATAAATTACTCAGAAAAAAAAACACCTCTGATCTCCCTTTCTCTCTAAGATTCTTTAACCATAATGAAGGTAACCTCTCTCTTTCTCACGCATACCCCTTTGAAATTCCTTATAGTGAAGATTAAAACATCTCTTCTCTCTCTCTAGTGAAGGTAACATCTCTCTCTTTCTCACACCCACACCCCTTTGAAATTCTTTACTCGTAGTGAAGATTAAAACATCTCCTCTCTCTCTTTCTCACACATATACGCAGGCACATGTGAGGGTGCTTGTTTAGTCAATAAACCTCCCTCTCTAACCATGGCTGTTGCACTGATGCAGCTTATACATCAACAAGGCGGGAGAAAGTTTTGGGTTCATAACACAGGGCCCTTGGGCTGTTTGCCTCAAAAGGTTGCAATGTTTGGGGGAAAGAACGTAGCATTAGACGCTGCGGGATGTCTTAGCTATTTCAATGAAGCTGCCAAGGTGCTCAACTTGGGCCTCCGACGTGTGTGTGCGGAGCTTCGAGCTGAACTACATGATGCCACCATCATATACGTCGATATTTACGCCATCAAATACGATCTAATTGTGAATTACTCCAAATATGGTGAGAAGCTCCACTTTAATTTTTTGAAATTTACGTAGACTCGAAAAAAGATGTGGTATTACTGCATGACCCATATTTTCAGTCATTTCGTGTTCTTTTTTTTTTTCTAATTTTGCCCCATTTCAAAAGTACTAACATATAACTGGCCAAATTTTTTTTTTTCAAAATTTTTGAAATCGTTTATGAATATAGGGTGGTATAAAACACACTCTCTCTTTTAACATACAATAAACATTCAAGTCCTAACAAATCCTTCTCTTTGTTTGCTTGATTTTAATAGGTTTTGAGAGCCCATTGATGGCATGTTGTGGTTATGGTGGGCCTCCATTCAATTTCAATGATAAGGTGAGGTGCGGGCAAAGTGGGTACATAAATGGGAGAATGGTGAGTGCAGAAGCATGTAAAGAGGGGTTAAGATTTGTGAGTTGGGATGGGATTCACTACACAGAAGCTGCAAATGCCATCATCTCTTCCAAAATACTCTCCACTAACTATTCCCAACCACCTCTTAGGTTTGATTGGTTTTGCAGTACTTAAGACTGGTGGAGAGTGATTCTAAGGTACTTGGTAAACATCTTAGAAATTGTCTATGATTATAATAATATTATTATTGACATAAGCAAGTTGTTTGAAGATGGAGTAAGTGTACAGTATGAACCTTGGTGGTAAGCAAGATGATCTTCTGGGTGTGCATTAAAATGGTTGAGGGAATATTGATTGCTTTTTATAAAAGAAAAACAATTTATGAGGCTGGGGCTGTATAAGGTTGCAAGACCTCATTGGAAGGAAAACATATCTTGATTGTGAATTATTTTACATTGGTAATCATTATCATTTGAGCATTATCTCAACTATTCATCATTTAAGTCTTATCTCAACTATTTGGGGTTGGCTATATGAATCATGTTCCTCCGGTCTGCTCTATCAAAAGCCATTACCTTGAGTCTGACCATAAGTTATACCCTACCTCGGTAATCGGTGATCTAAAATAAATTAAGACCTTAAACCCTAAAAAGTAGGTCTTGTGGCACTTTTTTTTGACAGTCCATTGCAAGTCCTCATAGATGTAGGAGTTCCAAGATCAATATTCATAGGCAAAAGGCAAATTGGATGTCCACGAGGAAGTTCTTTGGCAAGGTTTTGAGATGCAGTTTCATACAGCCATGGCCATGCCAAAACCGTATCCTTTTGTACACATTCAGAACTCTTAATCACCATTTTTTTAAATGAAGGGAAAGCGTGAACTTGTGGCCATTAGCCAACTCATTGGAAAAGCTCAACGATAAGTGGGATAAGTTGAAGGTTAAAAGGTGTATTTAAGATATCATAAGAGGTAAGACAAAATTGATAAGCTTAAAAAGAAACAAAGCAAAGAGGAAAATCTTGTGTTGCCTTCAGTTTGGATTGCCCTAGACTAAGGGTTATTGGCAATTAATACGAGTGGCCATGAATCAATATATTAATGCTAGTAGGAAATTATCTTTGGTGTACACCTTATTGAGATCATGATGGTCAATACAAATTCCGACACATTTGTCGTGCTTCGTGACTGCAATACTTCTGAACCAGCTAGAGTAATCAACCAGGTATATGAATCCAACATCGAATACTTACTGAACTCATCCTTAGTTTTGTTTTGGGAATAAGTTGCAGGGGTTGCTTATGAAGGTGTTTGTGAACTGGCTTGGCTCTAGGGAGTAGAACCAAGTACTGTTGAACAAGGTCAGGGTCTAGCCCTAGCATGTTGTTGTACAACTACGTGAACACATCTCGGTACCCCTTAAAAAATGTGATCATTGGGTCCGGTGCCTCGAGAGTTAGTGAGGATGCGATCTTGGTCATCTTTTGTCCTAGGTTGACATCACAGGATTTTCTCAACCGTGGCCTCGAATGTTGGTTGATGGCTACTTGAACTATTTAACCTGACTTTTGAAAACCTTGGAATCTGGAACATCCTTGTGCTTCTGATTTTGCAGGGTCTCATTATCAGAGTCAAACTCTTCTCAATTGCCTGAGACTGAGGTTTTTTAGTCGCTTGATTAATTTCAATTTTTATAGAGCCCTTCAAGTTTGAAAACATTCGGTCAAATTTCCTTAACACCTTCGAAGTGAGTTTGTACAGGCTTAAGATATTTTGGGCTGACTGTTAGAAGCTAGTTCTTTAGGGACACAGCACTTTGCTCCTGGTGCGTGCTCATTTTTTGGATCCTTGACAAGCAGGTTTCTCTAACAGTCAGCCAAGGCATCAATGGAAAGAGGAAGAGGTAAAGATGGTGACTTCAAAGAGCTAAGGGCCTGTTTCGGTACCTAGATTGTACTCTCCATGATAAGACAATCCAGGTATTGGGCCCTGATCCTTTGTTTGGGTAACACATTCGCGCATGGATAGCTGAATCCCGGAGAGTGGCCAATTCATGCGTGGAAAATGTTATTCTACCAAAATACGTGGAATAGGGTTATCACGGGTTTTGGATTGGCCAATCCCTGTCGGACCCGAAATTTTACAATTCATTCAAGTTAAGGAACATTGAGGTCCGCGCATTACAAAGTCATCTTACTTAAATACTATATTGTATATTATATGTAATATAATAAATATTTATGTTATCTATAATAAAATATATATTGATATCATAAATATGTAAATATGTAACATATATAACATAATATTAAT